CAGCCGCCCCGGCCGCGGCCTTCCTGATTCAGTAGCTCCCACCTCCGCTGCCCGTTGAGCCGGTTGATTTACGTGGCTTCTGCGGAAAAGAAGCGCGTAGCGCTTCCGAACTGGTATCGTACCCCCAGTGGAGAGAGGGGTTGTGTGCTGCGCTCATAAAAGGTTATGTAGAAAGACTGAATGTTGTTTGTGTTATAACTATGGTGCTTGCTCGAGCTGAAGATGCCTGACTGTTGGGAGTCACAGGTCCACTGGGGAGATGAGTGATCAAATACGACCTGACACGGGGAAAAATCGAAGGACCCATCAAGCGAGGATGATGTTGATGCCAGTCTGACGGTCAGCAGTGTGTGTTTAGTGCTGCTGTTCAGGATGAATAGGAAGAAGGGAGACAAAGGATTTGAGAGCCCAAGACCATATAAATTATAAGTATCCATTTTTTTTAAAGTTGCTATACTTGAGACCAATGCCCATTTGAAACAGACCACACGCTGATCAGTAATTATTTACCGGAGAAGGTTGGAACTGTTGCTTACGGTGTAGCTTGCACTCAAAAAATGTGGGTTGTAGGTGTATGTTTTATTGTGTAAACGGACTCACTCATGGACAGTGAGTCTGTCAACCATGCAGTCTCATCTTATAAAGATACTTACTTCGTGCTCTTCAAACCTTGGAGATTTCTCCACACAATATCAGCACTGCAGACCGTGCTACCATGTTTCATTCTTACTGCTATGTCAAACCCTTTTGACTTAAGGGCTTTTTTATAGATAAAAAAATGCTTGCATTTGCGGCAAGCAGCTTTGTTAAGCAAATTGTCATTTTTACACATTCATTATTTTGGTTGTAACCAAGCTGTAAAGCAGTTAGTTGTGGATTTCAGTGGATCTTCATGTATTTCTGTTTATACCTCCTTGATTTCTTGATAAATCTGTAACACAATTGTATTTCTAAACAGAATCACTCTTGTTATCATATAAGTTTTAATGCGTAGGTAATGTTTGAATCCATCATTGGATACTAGATGTTATCATTCTCTTGTAGGAATTTTTATTGAACTTGCTTAACTGAAGCAAAGTCACTTTTTAATGCACAGGGTACATGAGTACACGTATATAATGTGTGATGTGGCGTAAAAGTTGAATTATTACGAGGTTGTATCTTGAGTCGTGAATAGCACTACTGTGAAGTGTGGTGAAGATGCCACCTACTACAGAAAAAATACAGAAATAACTTCCAAAGTTTTAAAGCTGGAAGTACTATTTTTTCTTCCATTTTTAAAATCAGAGTTTTATTTACCAGGAGTTCGAATACATCGTTCAAGATTTAAGCAAATGCATTTGACTTGTTTAGAATACCTATCTTGATTGATATATAACCATTATTTAAAATAATAAAATCTTATGACATACTAATTGTAAAAACACATACTATATCTTTTTTTATGTATAGTACCTGCTTACCTAAATTACGTATGAGCGTCAGCTCACCAGGTAGATTTTCCACAGGTCTGTGATTGCAAACATTATGGCTGTGTGCCATTTCTAATAGTGCACATCACCAAAGTGTTAGAACTTGATTCTGTGCCATTAGTAATACTATATTTTTACACACTGTTATGTGGTGTTCAAAAATGACCTTGTTATCTTCCTGTGTTACTAGTAATATTCGTACCGGTATGATACTACACTTTGATTTTATTGGAACTTTTCTGACCCTGTGTGCAACTTCTATTCATTATTTGTTTTGGACCACGTAAGAGATTTAGGCCATCATGAATTCTCCTTATATAAATATATGCTATATGCAGCATTTATCTATATGTACATACATCCTGTATGAGCTCTCTGTTTTTTTAAAACTGTGTTAAAATATTATTTTAAATGCTGGCATTTGTGCAAAACCTTACTTATTTTAAATTATTTTTATTTTTTTTCCAGCACAACTCACCAGGTAGTTTGTATCAACAACATAAATTTTCAGAGAAAGTCTGTTGTAGTAAGTATTTTTTAATAAAATGTGAAAGTAGAAATTAAAAGTCTGGGTTTTCTTCGTGCTTTTAGAGGAAACAACTGCGCACACAAGATAATTATGTTCTTCAGCTTCTTTATATTTTATACTTTCTAATCCGATGCCTCTCATAAGTCTGTCATTCCTTGAGATGCGTCAAAATACCTTCTAACTGTGAACACTTTAATCTCTGTAAGGAAAAGCTTTCTAAAAGAAAGTCACTGCATTGTAAATTATGTTACAAAGCAATTTACAATTCAACATTGACCTTCAACAGAGTGTTAGCTGATGTTAGGGGTAGGGTTATAGAGTTTTCTAGTTTATATGTGAGTTCACTGGGGCTTTGAAGAGACTTTCACGATTTCAGGCCTGAAGTTACTGAGGCTTTTTGTGAATTTAGGTATCTGCCTAAATGGATTCTGTTTAGGTTTTAAAAATCATCGTCTCAAGCTCAGATACCAAAACCTAAAACATAGTGATGAAAAACATAGTGATGCTAGTAACTTGAAATCTAGTCGATAGAGGCAGATCATTTCCAGTAAAACAAGCATGGTTGTCAGTCATTTTGAAGTTTTTTGTTTTGTTTTATTTCACGGCTGGGAAAATTCACCTGTTAAATGATATGCAAGAAGATGTATTCTAGACATCTAAAAGGGCAAACCAATTTCCTTTTTAAATAAAAAAATTAACATTTTTTTTTACCTAGAATTTTCC